GGTGCCGTGGGGGTGGAGCGGCGGGGGTCGGAGGGAGCCAGCACTACTACTTGGTGTTGAGCTCGTTCTCCAACTCCATCAGTTTACGTGACGCCTTCACCTTGTTGGAAACTTCCTTCCCCTGGGAGAAGAGACGCTGCCGCTCCTTAAAGGTCAGACTCTCCGGAGCACCGGGAACGGAGTTCTCCTGCTCCTGGCTGAAGCGCACACACAGGTACACACACACACACACACACATTAGTCAATAACCAAGAGCAGTAACACAGAGGATTATGCATATGTTTCACAACTGCAGCAAAACACCCAGCCAGCCTTCTTAAACACTTCATTTCCTTCTGTCACAGATCTCACTGACTCTCGATGCGTCTTCACATCCCTACTCTTTACGTCAGGAAACTACTTAAACAACACCAGAAAGGACCAACCTTCTTGTCCACTTGTCCTTGTAGACGTCTCCCGTCCCTACAAAGGCTGCGGAGTTTCCAGTGTACGAGTTGTATCCTGTCCCACGGTTTCACACACACACACGGACAAAACGACAAAACCAAAAGTTAGACTTGGAAATCAACAACAAAACAAACAACCGACTTCCTCAGGACGACGGCAGAACACGGAGGCTGCTGGGTCACGACCACACTGATCTGGAACTGATTTCGCTGCAGTGATGCAGCTGTGATAGGTTGTAGTGTCTCTCGTCTCCGTCACCCAGCAGCCTCTGGTTTCCACGTCACACTGATTTCCCACAGACCGGCCTGAGCGGAAGGAAGGAAGGAAGGAAGGAAACAGAACAGGTGCAGAAGTCTGGACAAGCGTCACGTCGGTTTCAAACCACAGCAGCCAGACCAGAGGGAAGAAACTGGAGCAGGACACAGTGTTAAAGAAGCAGTTGAAGCTGGTTCTGTGGAGGTGTGGCTCAGAGGTCAAAGGCCAACCAGCTGCTGTGAAGACAGTGACTCCTTTGACCTCTGTCCACCAACATTTCTTTGTTCACGTGTCTCTGTGTCTTCATCTTTTACTACAGTATTACTTGAAGCATGGTTCCTTGTCTCTTTGTTGGAACCCAAACCCAACTGTTGCTTTCTTCAATTTCTCTACAATTAAAACCACAACCAGATCCTTGAAGACACCAGGACTGGACCGAGGCCTGAACCCCAGACCTGGGCCACAACCACAGCGTCTACTGGACTGGTCTGCTCTTTGAAGCTTCGTGGTTGGATTTCCTCACATCACGATTCAGACACAGACACATTGACGGGGTCGTGAACCCTGGTGGATCTGGCCAGCTGGCAGCTCAGCATCAGCTCCCTCTACTGTGGGCTACAGAGTGTAGTTTGGGTCGAGTCCATCTTCTGGACAACACCAACACAAACTGGTAGAGAACAAAAGACACCGCAGAGACGCGGGGGCCTCGGGTTTGAGCGGAGGACGTTTACGTTCCTCCCGCAGAGACAGAAAATCAAACAACTTGTTGAACACTAACACAGCTTTGTCCAGGACCTTCAAAGGTCAGGGTTGAACACATTTGGTTCAGTTTCCAATTAAACTAACAACAACAGATTTCTGTCTATTGCCTCCATCGCCTCATTTTATTTATTACTTCTTTGTTCTCCACAGTTCTGGAACTTTCTACTTTTACTCTGCAGTTTCATCCCCATCACTTAGGACTGAGTTGACTTTTCAGAGCTGCCAGATGACACACATTATTACATACATACAAGTTCATCAGAACATCAGGATGGCCAATGACTTAGGTGCTGCGGAGCCAGGAGGGGGCAGCACCTGAATCAAAGTCCAGTGAGAGCTGCTTTAGTTCTGGTTCATTTTAGTAAAGCCAGCAGCGTTACAGAGCACAGACGCAGAGACAGACGACAGCCAATCAGCTGACAGAGCCGAGACACAGGGACAATAAAGTAAAAGACAGAAATATTTGAAGGAGATTAGAAGAAAAACAAACAATGAACATTAACAGAGAAAGAAGCAAAAAGGTCAAAGGTAACATTGACATGGGAGTACCAGCAGGGGGCAGCCTGGTGGAGCTACGCACAGGCA